TAACGTTAACACCAGGAAAATTGCCATTATTAGGTCCGAAAAGGTGGCTTTACAGTTTCTCAAAATTCTCCTTATTGTATTAATAACTTTTTTCCCATTTTTTCTTTATACTAAAAGAAACATTAAGGGCTTATCTATTTTTAAGTATAGTTAAATAGTTTAAAATAGATAAGTTAGCGAACATAGTTTTGCATAACATTCAGTGCAAAAACAAATCAAAATAGAGAAATAGTAGAATTAATAATAAATTTTTTATCCTTCTTAGAAAGACTTGAGATTTGGAACCGCTTTGCGCTTGATAAAATTTTTTAGAGCCAAAAAACTTTCTATTAATGCGCCTGAAAAGTTCTAAAATTAGCCAAAAGTAATTTCTTGTGCGTTATTGCTTACCTCCAAATGCACTCGCAATGGCCATATCAACACCTTTTCTTCCGGTTTCCCTTTCCAGGGGAGCGACGGCGTCATTCATAATTTTGTGCTATATTAATACAACAAATTTCGAAGGATGCCTCCGTACATAGTTGGAGAACAATTTACGGAAAAAATGTTCTATAGATGCCACTATCCAATTCCTATGTAGAATTACTCGGCGATTACGAAAATCGAGATAATTTTTCTTCAATGGATAACTTTTGCAATTTACAGTCATTCAGATGAAAAAAATAGTGGTTTCACTTAATCACGTATATCTTACGAAACAATCGAATAATCGTAATACGATATACGCGAAATGAAAGCAAATAAAATTCTCCATAAACCGTGTATACATCACATTTCGATAGCCCTGATAGTTTCTGCGAAATTAATTAATCATTTCTGACACCTCTTATTTCCGAAGCAAACACTATACCTACTCAGGTGCACATGGCGTATGAGTAACACTCTTTACGGCTCATATTTCATACAAGAAATCCTTGCGCATTTTCGCTTGACCAATCATTATTTTCTTATCTATCCATCGATTTTCTTCATTGGTAGCTTAATTTTTTTCTAAAGGAACAGGCTTAAACTTAAATGCAAAACATTTACACAGAAACAGTTATTTTGAATTTTTGGACTTTTCCATAAAAAAAAATCTGGGATGATTAATTAATTTCTCAGAAACTATCTATCGCTATTGAAAATTAATGTATATGGGCAAATCCTAGCGTTGCGGACGTTACGTTCGTACGTTTCTTTTAACATTTTTGCCGACAAAAATATTATAAGACCCTTTTCAGACACATCAAGTCTGCTCGTTCGTAGGCGAAGGAGGTGAGACGAATGTACTCTTCCCCTCTCTTCTCACCTCCTTCGCCCACGAACAGAGCAGACTTGAAAGCAACACTTGACGTGTCTGAAAGGGGTCTAAGTTAAAAAAATTGTTGTGGTATAAGAGAAATTTTATAGCAGTACTTATGAGAATAAAATAATGGAAATTTGAATTTGAGTTTATGTCGAAATTTATGCTCGGACATTACTGGAAAAGGAAGTGATTTTTATATGACCATCAAAGTCATCCGATTTGCGAAAATTGTCAATCTACAAAAATACTTTAAAGAGAAAATAATGCAGTTTACAAAATGTGATATAAAAGCACACTAAAGGTTGGATTAACTTTGAAAAATATGTATATGTAAGTTCGGGACGTTACGTTACGGATGTTACTCTTTCTTCCGTTTCAAAAATTGATTTATTTAAAGCGATATTGTTGTATTTTATTAAAAGATATAGTGCTTAAAACCAATGCTATTTAGAGCTTTGTTTCAAGAAGTAAAATGGGGCAAATCAGATATCCCAAATAGATATGAAAAAACAATATGTTGGGCCATGCTTCTTTTTACAGAAAAATGAGAGAATTCGAATTGCACGAATTTTTTTGCGATTTTGGTTGACAATTTATTAAGTAATATTGTAATATTGTGATTTTCCATTTATGGTTTATATAAATATCTTGAACAATGAAGTTCGTGGTGATGTAAATTCATGCAAGATATATTCCTAAGTTATTGCGATGAATTACATTTTCTTTAATTTTCATTTACCTAATAAATATTTGTGAATTCATCATACAATTAGTTTTCAATTTTAATTTGAGATTTTTATATCTAATTTGAATGAGTTTCACACAGAAAATAGGTATTTTGTGTTTGGGGATTTTTATTTTGGGTATTTTAATTTGAGGATATTATGGTACGCCCATGGGTGGTGAGAACACTGCATGCTTGGTATGCGTATGTACACTTACATATACATACATACTCAGATGTGAACAGTCAAATACGCGCGTAATAACTTTTTGTATGAAAAGATTATATTTTTAAGTACGAACATTTTTAAACCATAATCATATAAAGTATTCATTTTTACTAGGCTTTATTTCCCGCAGTTTACACTCAGGCAAATAACTATCAGGCAGGATTTGTAGCTTACCTCCGAGTGACTTTGAACCAAAGTCACTTTGAATATATGCACATAACGAGAGGGAGGGTACTCTCAGACAACTAAGCATTCAACAAACACCGAAAATTTTGGTTCGTTATCTTTTGAGAATCATTATGAAAATAATGAAAGTATAATATCTCCTCGAATTCTTTTATTTGGCAATTAACTACAGCACGTTTGAAGTTGCTGCAATAAAAATGCTTGTTATTGTTTTTGTTTGCATTTATTTTTCGATTTTCATGGTCCTGAATACATCCAAAAGCAGCCTTAAGGTTCGACGAATACAAAGATTGTACCAGCGACCAGTAAGTCGTCAACGGAGGTGTTTATTTTGTGCTTTACTATGTAGTAGACGACATTGGTCATGATGACAATTTTGGTATTAAGAGCAGAAATAAAACATGAATTACCTCNCAGCACAAATGGCTTGAAGCAAAGGGAAATTTCGCTTGGTTTGTCAAGCCGCTTGTGTTGTGTATTTCGCTCTTAAGTAGTTATTTGTTTAATCAATAAACTGTGTCAGGATAACACTTTGTAGTGAGTTTTCGAACGTTTTAAATTCTTCACTTTTGAACGTAAACAAAAATTATATCAGCTGTTCGTCTAACCTGCAAGGTTCTGCAAATTTCCTGTTTGCGTACTGTTTTGGATATTTTACTCTTGTGAGAAAACTGCTGACATTTCGCGGGAATTTTTGTTGTTGGATGTTTTTTACTGGAGATTATAAACGAACGCACCTATTAGTGGGGTTCATGAAACGTCGCTAAGTTGTTGCTAATGTCTCATTTGCCACAAAATTTGCCACCTTGCAACACAGCTGATTACTTTCTTGCGACATTGCCAAAGTATTTGAGCTGGCAATCATTACAAAGTCAAAGTCGCTAAACATACTTATGTTTTTTATTGTCTTCGAATACTTCAAGAAAAAGTGTGTACATCAGTTTAGGCTGCTTCGAAACATAATTGTAAAAACCTTTTTTCTCTAACCAGCGGCATTTTTAAAAAATTTTACATTTGCAATCCGGTGTTGTGCTAGGTGGTTCATACAACTTTGTCCGCAACATTGCCATTTCGCCAAAAATGCCACTTTGCGACGTTTTATGAATCGCACTATTATTATTTTTTTATTATATAGACAAAATATTGGGTATTTTATTGATAATTTTAGTTCAGCCCAATGATAACTCCTTTTGTATATTGGAGTTTGAAAACTGCTTTGTGGTTGTTCATGCTTGCCTGGTTATCAGGTTATCTGGGAAATTGTTTTTTTATATTTTAGTGTATTTTATTGTTGTAAACTGAATAAAAAATATAACCACATAACCTGATAACCTGATGACGCTATATAATGTTGGGCAATAAATAATAAATTGTTGAACTTCTATATATCTCAAATCTCTTGGGTGCCCATTAGTTTCGTATAAATATGTATGCATGTGTAAATATCACGGATGATCCTGCTCAACAGAGTGGCCAAATTAGTTAACCAAACAATTTTTGATAAATCCCGGGTTTCATGCTCATTTTAGCCAAATACCGCGTATATATATTTCTTCCTATTTTCCTATATTAGTACTTATGACTTGGTTAAATACCCATACTAAATATTTGCATTTATCCAATATAAAAACAAATAATTTCGCGATTTCCACGTCTATTTCGAGTATTTGTGACTAATTCTCGATTTTCGGGACGATTTCGAGATTTCCAGAAACAAAATTTAAGTTGAGATGAGGTGATGTGAGCGACTTGATGTAAGCTGCGCTGAGGTGAGTGCAAAGTAAGGTGTTAGTGGCTTTAGCTTTTGGTTTGCATTTTAAAACTACCTGAGTGCTTTAGATCACAGTATTCAGCGTCTTCCTAATATTAATTTAGTATCGAGCAACCCCTAAATACCTACGTTCTTTGAGGGTTTAAGAACTGTTAATAACTACATACATAGGCACATAAGGTTTTGCACCAAATAATAAATAAGTATTTGGTTATTTAGTACCCAAACTAAATACAAAAGTACTTAAGTGTGCCTATCACTGCTCTATACTTCATTTAATACATATTTATTTAAAACTAAACTGCTTCTTGTGGTGTAGAAGGGATATTGTGCTCAACGAATCTTAAAAGAGTTTTTAGGTATACGATTAAGCATAAAGACAATTTTTTTAAACCGAAAACTGCCGCTTAATTTTATAGATAATCACATAAATAAATGCACTTATTTAGAACGACTGAACATATCTGTGATGTCAGTATAAATGTTCATACATAGGTACATATGAAAATGATTTCATAGAGTAGAGTATATACCTCGAACTTTAGAAACATGTTTTAGATGGGATGTTATAACTGGAATAATTTCCAACTTCTAAATAGGTATGCATTTATTTTCCACACTACATACAATCAATCATACCAACTTACTGAAATACTTATGCAAAAGAAATAAATTTTTCGTTATTCACAGGTGGTCACCGCTATCAATCTCGTCTAAGCTGTGCATGTCCCCAAATGGTTGTGTAGATATGGCACAATGCGCCTTTTATTTAGTTTTTCGTTCGCGGGCAACTTCTTCCACAAGTGTTCTCCTGAAGACGAATGTGACCATAAATGCTATAAAAATAAAAACTGTTTTGTTTTTACCACTGTGTCCGTTTATGCTAACAAGGAAGTGCGCAAATTAATATACAAAAATCTCTATAATAAATGTCACACTATATCTCACAGCAAGTGGTTGCAACAAAAGAGCGAGAGAGGCACACACTGGGCTTCCACCGGACACAAAGTCCACAATAAATCCCTATTTATTTCGAGTAATTGCTTTGAAAACCCACGGAAAGAAGTGGAAAGACGGAAGCTGCCTGCCGGAGACTACGTGATGGCTAAGAGAATGAACGAAAACGCCTACTACTATGCGCCACAGCCGCCAGCTGTGTTGGCCTATGAACGCATGCCTCGGCAATCAATTCCAGACAATTCAAATTCAGCTACAACTAATGCCAGCGTAAGTGCTTTGGTTGCCGCTACTGCCTTCGACAGCGCAAATGGCATTGCTAATGATTTCAATTACACAAGATCAAGCAGCACCAGCAGCAACAGCTTTGGCAGCGACGTCCTTTCACCCAGCAATCTCTCTTTCTCGTATTTCTTACCTGCCGCATCGTACGCCATCCCTGAGCCGGAGTCACAGCCAACGACTTTCTCAGTGGTTTCGAATGATGTCAAGCCAGATTTGATTGAGCAGACCAACACTCTGCTGCTAAATAATTGTAGCAGTGAAATTTCGGATGATATGCTGCAGATTATTTTGGGGCCACCAACAACAACAACCGTGAGTGCGGGTGCGGGTGCGGGTGCGGGTGCTGTGGATGGCACTAGCGACAAATTTAATTCATTCTATTTCTATGAGGTGAGTAAATTGTTGAACGTGTACACAAGAAATATACAATATGTATAAAGAAATTGCAAGTCCGTGCGCTTTTTCTGGCAAGCTTCATGTGGATTATTTCGCACCAAAATTGAGTAGAGCCAGCCCATGGGCAATGGAATGTGATGAGCGGCTGCTTTATTTTCTATGTTCTTGGTATGCACACAGCTTTGTAATTCAAATTAGTGTAATTGTGTCGGTTTATGCATATGTATGTATGTATGTATGTACAAAACGGAAAATAAATTAGTTGTAGTGATAAAGCCCCACTATTAGAGAAATAAGCAGAAAGTTGGATACTTCAATTCCTATGCGAATTAATCGTAGCACTTTCGATAGAAGCAAAATTCTGATAACAAAGTTATAAATTGGGTGTTCGAGTTTTTCACTCTGAAATTTAACAAACTTGAACAAAAATTTCGAGTGTTGTTTTGAAGCTTTGCTTAAAAATCGTTACATTTTGGCTATCAGAGGGCTCAAATTAAATTTTTTATTTTTTTCATTTATTCAGTTTTTTTTCGTTTTTCAGCAGTTGGACATTATGGTCCTCGTATCGAAACCTATTAGAAATTAAAGAAAATTTTTAAAGTGGTTTGCGGTTTGTTGGATGTAAGTGCTGAGTTAATATTCACTTACGCCGGCAATTATCTGTCAGTGACCAACCGAAATTTAACGACTTTCGTAAAAGTCTAACTCACTGAAGTTTGGTTATCTGTTAGACTAATCTTATCAAGTTTAATAATTGTAAAATATGTAAATTTTGAATCAATTTCCTATATTATTAAAAGTGCGATATGTACATGCATATACATAAATGTCTGTAGAATCTGGAACTACAAAAATGTGGTTTTCGAATACTTTAACATACTTTCCCTTATTAAGTTATGATTCCTCCTTCATTTGGGGCATTCCCGATTGGGTTGCGCATTTGCTTACAATGGTTGTGATACAAACGATAAGAACTTATCTACATATTCCGTTACTGGGACACAAACAAACATTCCAAACTTACATATAAATACATACAGATGTCGTAATTTTTCAATGAGCTCACCGCATTTAACATATCAAGAGGATAACGGAAGGATAAAATGTGCTCCAGCAGCTTTGTCCTCCGTGTGACACATTCCATAGTATCAAAAGGTTTAACCAAACTCTGCATACCGACTATAATAGAAACTTGAAGTATGTATATGTATGTATTTGCGAGCACGAGTGTATACGAGTAACAACTGTAACTATAAACGGGAAAATCCTTTCAGAAGATGCAAAACGTGTATTCACGCACGCATATGTATATATGTATGTACAAAATTTTCTAACTACACCACAAACTTAAATACGTGCAGAAACATTGCGAAAAAGTCGATGTGCATACTCATTTTGCATGGGCGTACACAAACATTAAGATGCCTCACACAAAAAAAGTTCCTATTTCCCCAAGCGCATTGGTCTATTTGATCCTCTCCCAATTAAGCTGGTCCCAATTAAATCCACTGCTAGTCAAAATTTAAATTGGTGAATTAATAATGCAATTTTGCACAACTATCTAATATAATGCCCCTAAAAATTGTAACAAGTTAATTTTCATTTAAAAACTTTACCCCCACGAGCGATTGGTCAAGACCTGAATATTATTTAAAATACGTATGTATGTATATCAGACAGTTTAATTATATTAGGGACAACTGATTTTGGCACGGCAAATGTTAAAACTGTTTTTGATACACTTTTAGGTGTTGATTAAGAATTTGTAAGTATAGAGTTTCCATCAGCTACATATTTTGAGAAAAACGAGGCCAAATTGTAAAAAAATTGCGTTTTTTGCAATTTTTTAGAAGCCCTAGAAAAAAAAAACAAATGGTGTCCGAACCCTTCGCTTAGGCTTAAATTAAAGCTAGAGCTCTCGACAACTACCCTTGCAAACACTATCCCGGCACCTTGATCTGATGGTTACTTATAATGATTTATTAAACCATAAAAAATACTGGGAAACTGTGCTATTGAAAAAAAAAATGGTCCAAAATCAATTTTTGCTTTTCAATAAATGACTATAAGTGACAATCAGATCAAGTTGCAGAGCTGGTATTTTCAGGGATTTTAGTCGAAAGTTGACGCCTTAATTTAAGCCTAAATGGAAGGCTTACGGATTTTTAATCAGCGCCAAAAAGTTGATCTGAAACAGCTTTAACATTTGCCGCACCAAAATTCTTTCCAATGGCCTGTGTTATTAACAGAAATATTTATTAACAAGTTTTCAGTAAATTTCATAACTCTTCCTTTGAATCAAGGAATTAAGGCTTCAGGGAAATATATTAAGTAGATGTACAAGAAAAAGAAGAAAAGCGTTCATGCTCCCGGATGTAGACTCGCGACCAACAAGTTGGTAGTCGAACGTGCTACATTTTGGCTACGGCAGCTGTTGAGATAACGTGGAAAAAAGATATATGTACATTAGAGTGGTCCAAAAAAATAAAGTCGGAGTTTTAATGCCGGCACACCCTAGGATTGATCTATATCGAAAAAAATATACCCCTATTTTTTTTATTTTGAAATCCAAAAATATTTAGGGAGTGCTCAAAGCGCTCAAAGTTTTCCATGTTTTTTATATGGAGGAAAAACAATTTTTCGTAGAAATGGTATAAAACTCCTGAAAATCAAACAATTTTTCGACCGGAAAACTGTGGTTCTCTTCAGGAGACTTCCAGTATTAATATCCAATTGTTTATTTTACCATTTTTTATGATTAAAGATTTTTTATTGATCCCCCCATTGCATTTTCTAAGGGCTTTGGAGGACCTATAAAATATAGTTACCATGAAAAAATTGTTAAAGAAACAAACACTGAGAGTCTCCTGAAGATAACTAAAGTTTTTCTATTGAAAAATATTGATTTTCAAGAATTCTACACTACTTCTACGAAAAGATGTTTTTTCTCCATATAAAATACATGGAAAATTTTGAGCGCTTTGAGCACTAACTAAATTATTTTTTATTTCAAAATAAAAAATATAGGCATACTTTTATTCGTTATATAACAATCCTAGGGGGTGGCGGCATTAAAAATCCGACCTTATTTTTTTACATCCATTTTTGGACCACTTTAATGTACATATGTATGTATGTACTTAATTTTGTTCTCAAACTTATTTTTGCTTGTGGAATGTTTGGTAATATACAAAGTAATGTACCGCCTTACACATCACCGCTACACACTTACACTGCTTCTTTGCGTTTAAAAGTAATTGGTAATATTTTCGAGGTAGAAAAAGGTAATGCATTCCCCATTTCCTCACTTAACTCACCTAACAAATTGAACATACATACATTTGCGTATACAAATGTCCCTGCAGCACGGGGGAGCGACTACAGGAATGATGAATCGGTATCTGCCAAACAACTCAGTCGATTACCGATCGACTACTTGTCGTGTATTTCACCGATTACTTTTACAAGGCAATGCCCACCGGAACTCTCTTTACTACCAGGAGTTACTAAAGTTGTTACTTGCGTGATTTACTGATTCTGCTTGCGTGATTCTGCTTCCGACAGGTTCGAATCTGCACTACCACGGGTTAATAGAGTAGCTACTTACCTAGGAGTCGGTGCAGTAGCGGTACAAAAGTAGCGATTGACCCCAGCAGTACTGGAGGGCTATGTTCGTTACTTTTTATATGTGCAATTGTATGTATGTTCAGTTTGTTGATTTCCAATAATGTATCCGAAAATTATCGTTAAAACTAAGTTTAAAATGGAAAATAGACTAAATCTATTATTCGTAAAACTAAAAAATTGTTGATGTATATTTATCTATCTATGTGGATCAATTTTCCTTCTCAAATGTTTTTATTCAAGCCGGTAAACTTTCTATTTGTACGTATATCTAAGTAGTTATATCCATACTTTAAACTGACAAAATTTATTTAGTAAAGAAATGCGAACTATCAATCCCAAACTTGGTAGGCACATAACCTTTTATCTCCCTCAGAAACACGATAAAAATTGTGGAAATTGTATAATAGCCGCAACCACGAATGCCGTGCTTATGCCGTCAATTTTGATTGGCAATAAAAATGGGAAAAGGCGGATGACTTCCAAAATGTACAAATGCGCAAATCGTGTGATTAATACGCGGTGTATAAGCTGGACTTCATTTTCACTGAACACATCGCTCATTTACTTCAACAGTGTCACAACTGGAAAAAGCAGCACTCGAGATAAACGGCTTTAAAGTTTTGAATTTACATATCGAGCCCTAACCGCCAAAATAACGTAAGCGACATTTTTTTAAAAATTTTATTTTTGATGCAGAAATATTCCTAGAGCATCTAGATGCATTTCTGCATCAAAAATAAAATTTCGAAAAAAATGTCGCTTACGTTATTTTGGCGGTTAGGGCTCGATATGTATACTCCCATGGCACAGCTATGCAATTTTTACACAATATAGAAGAAGAGGTAGTGGTGAATTCTGCATACTTAACTCAAAATTTGTAATTTTGGGATTATGACACTATTGGAGTAAATGAAATGAAATGAAATGAAATATGTGCATACGCTATTTTGTAATATTTGTTTCCAAATCGCCCAATCGCACTCGTCGCAAAGTTCTTTGCNAAGTAAACGAAATGAAATGAAATGAACGATATGTTCATACGCTATTTTTTAATATTTGTTTCCAAATCGCCCAATCGCACTCGTCGCAAAGTTCTTTGCCATAAGTCATAATCGTATCGCGCTATGAAGAAGACAGTTTCGTTAGAGCTTTGGCATCTGCTGTTCACGTAATATCCATGACCCAGAAGAAAAAGTAATACAAAACACATTATGCAAGATTATATACTCACGACCACGAATGGGATTTCAATTCAAATAAATGACTATGACGCCGCAAGGGATCGGCCAACCACTCGTCCGTCAACAAAGCTAACTTTATTGAGTTTTCTGTTCTTCATTATTAACAGTTTTTACATATCGTCAACG